GGCTTCTTACTTCTAACTCATTTGGCTGCAATTTGTACTGTCAAGGTCATTTAAATAGGCAGTAAGATGTGGCGAATGTGTTCCCAGAGGTCATGAAAAGCCTCTTTAGTAGAGCATGCTAGGCTGTGCTTATGCCAGGTCATTTAGGCACATTTGTATTGCCAGTCAGGTGATACACAGAGTAGTTCATGATTTTGTAATAAACAGTGCAACCTGGACAATCAGTGTGTGCCACAGTGGGAGATTTAACGGACAGTACAGTAATTCACTAACTGTATTTTAATAGTGGACTAATCTTTAAAATATGTGAAAAGATGTCAGATTATGAAATCCAAATGAATTGACTGGGCTCTTCCCTACCACCCCCATTTTTTTCTTTCATTGAGATTGGTTTGTTCATCTGGGCTGTTGGTCTTTTATTCAACTCTTGGTGTTTAAATAGTGCCATTTTTAATAAATGGTTTAGAGAGATTCTGAAGATCAGGTTTTATTCCCTTTTTTTCCATATCCATTCTCCACAGAGATAAATTAACCTTCTGTCTTAGGAGGAAGTAAATAGAGACAGCATGATTTAAAGATTAGAAAAGACATTTCAGCCAACTCTTTGTAACATTGGTAACTACAAGTCAGAATTGCTGGGTCTGTCTGAAACTCTGCTGCTACATTACTGTGACTGTGACCAGATACTTTCCTTTTCTTTCTTTCTTTCTCGTTTTCTCCTCCCATATTAATAAGCACATTGTGTTTACCTAGAATTTTACCTTTTGAAAGGACCATACATACCTTATAAAAGCACTGTGGTGCACACTCAACTTACCAGCAGTATTTCTGTTTAAATGTTGTTTGCCAGGCACTTACCTTTGGAGATTTCCAGGGTCTGATGCTTAAATTCAAAAGCTTGCAATTACACAATACCAAGTTGAGTGAAGCTACAAAACACAGCTCTTGAATATTTTGTTTACCCAAAAAACTCTGGTGTAGATGAAGTGTTCTGTCTTCCCTCATATGTCCAGAGATCAGCTGGCAGAAAAACCTAGAACAAATCAAGGATTTAGAGTTCCTCGATCAACAACGTTTTGGTTAATGACAGTCTTCCAATCCTGGGAAGAAAACCACCAGCTCTCCCTAAAACAGTGACTATTCTGACACTGCTGTGATACAGGGGATGGAAATCTCTTCACCAGGGCTTTGCTCTTGCTGTGGCTACTTCATTTTATTAGCCCTCCATCATCTGTTTCTGCTTATGCTTTATTCTCTACATTTATTTTTTGTGTGTGTGTTTTGTTTTGTTAGACAAATGCGCTGCTTTAAAGGAAACATTTCATACCCTTTAATCAAGATCATAGTTTACTTTCATCACGTCTGTGGTTATGTTATTACAAGCCTTTTGGGTCTTAGTGTCCTCTGGTCTGAGCGTTAATCATTTTGGCTCATATATAAATAAATGTTTGACTTTAAAAAATACTGGCTTGAAAAAAAAATTCTTATCAATGGCCTTTTAGAATCACTGCATGTCAAAAAAAAAGGCAGGGACCAATCAATACTGAGCTTTCTCTAATAAAAATGAAGTGCAGGGAGTCCTTCTAGGTCCTGTGATCCCACTGTATAAAGCAGAATCCCCTGGCTGTTTAAATATGCCATCTACCTGGAGTGAACATGGTACATCTATTTTTTTTTAAGTTATTACTCTTACTTGGCCCTAGCTGTTGTGCTGCACTTACAGCCTTGATATAACTGAGAGTGAAGCCTGCTAGTCTGTAAGGAGGCAGAATGTTAGCTGGGAGATTTTATAGTTAAAAATAAAGCTAGGCTAACTTCTAATCCTTCTCGTGGTTACACGTGTGTTTATCAATAATGAACACAATACAGTTCTTGATCTAAACTGGAAGATCAGAGAATCTTGAATTCGTGTCTGCAGATAGGGAAAAGGGTAAAGTGCCTCAGTGAATGTAAGAGTGAGGATCCTAAGAGTCATCTTCACACTTAAGACAGTTATATCTGGGAGACAGGTACTAATACAGTTTTTCAACTCCCATGGAATAAATCAGTGTAGTTCACTGTGGTAACAGAAATCATTTAAATTACTATCAACTCATGTTCCAACATAGGATTTCTAAACTCTCTGACTGAATTTTTAATGTATTTGACTTCCAGCAAGGATTTGAGAATGCTCTTTGAAATAACAGAAATAAAAGTGTTATGAAGACCAAACAGTGAAGTAATACCATTTTGTGAATACATATAATAGCTGAAAATTGTTTACTTATCCTCCTTTATGAGAACCAAGCTTCTGTGACCTCCGATTAATTTACCATTAGCCTGAACACACAATGAAAGTGAATGAAGGGGCAATTTGGAATGACATTTATCAGCTCTGGAACTGTCGACTTCTATTATTTCCACAAGGCCTTATACTTCTTGGCTCCAGAGAAGGCTGTGCTGACTTGAATGAAGAAGAGCATTCTTGCTACCAGGAATAGTTACAGTGCAGACAGCTTCACTGCTGGGTGCCTACGATGGAAAAAAATCCACCTCACTCGTTTCACATTTGCATTAAATGAGACCAAAACCAGTGCTTGGTAGTGGACTTGCACAAGACCTTGCTTTCACACCAGGCTAAAAAAATAGGGAGCAGAAGAACTAAAGAAAGGGAACAGGAGTGAGAGAAGGGAATAAACTTTATAGGGACAGAGTAGCCAAGGGATTGACTCAGAAGGCTGAGACTGAAAAAAGCTTTGAAGCACAAGGGTGCAGGTTGGTATCCAAGCTGACTGCAGCGAGCGAGAGCCGTTCCCATCAGGGACTGGTTGCTGCTCCGTATGAGCAGCACTGCTGCTCTCAGGCAGATTTCCAGTAGCCAGAGGACACACTGCAGCTTTTACTACCATATCTGAAACTAATCAGCCCCTTTTGTTGAGACTACAACAGAGGTGAAGAATCAAATGTACGTGGAAACTAAACTCTCTTGGACTCAACTGAAATAAGCCTGTGAGCAGGTTTGCTTTGCTTCTGACACTGGCTTCCAAACAGATGACTTTGCTCTTCAGGAATCCTTGTCTGGCACAGAGTCGCTGTATTTGGTTGGTGGTTGGTTCATTGGCTAGTTTGTAACTGCACTTTTATGCAACTATCTCAGTACTCATTCTACAGAATTATAGTTGGACTGTTGTGAGATTTATTTATTTTTTTTAATTGAAATCATCAGAACAGCAGAGCAAGTCCCCTTCCTTTTGGCTAGTTGGTTAATTTATTTTATTCTAGTACAGATGGATTTGTGTTTCCATAAAGTAATGTGTCAAGTGCTGGTTGAACTGGGTGGTGTTTTTAACCCCAAGGCTTAAGTCTCCTAGAAGATCAAGACAACTCTGCCTTCTAGGTGTCTGAGGTGCTTCTGAGAATACAGAATATAATCTCCTAACTAAATATTTTGTGTTGATTTTTTTCCCCTTTATTTTATGCACAAGTTGCATCTAGGACAGATTAAATACCACTCTGAGGAAGACAGCATTGTCCATGATGTCCCTTATATGTTTGTCTGCTAAGCTTTATTTTTTTTCTAACTATGACTATTACAAATGTGTAGAAATAAGCAAATATAACAAAAGTGCTTTGTGCAGAGCTTGTTTCTTGAGGGTAATGGAAAGGTTATATGACACTGCTTTGCAGAATCATCCTGTATTTGGAGACATACATCTACATCATACTTCCACAAGCGATAGGCAACTATAAAATTCCTTCTTTACTGCTGCACACCACCCTCTGTGGGGAAGAATCAGTAGTATATGATGGTAGTTACAGATAGATACCTTAGCAGTAACAATAAAACACTCAAACATTATGAGTCTAATTCCAGTCGGCTTTGCATTGCTGTAAGTCAGGAATAATTCTATAACAGTGAATGTACTTAGGAAGATCAGAATCAGCTTCTTCAGTGCCCAGAGCTGAAACCCAGTTGTGTGATTTAACACTTGCAATAGCTAAAGGATGATTTTCCTAAGTCACAGTGTCAGAGGAGATCTGAGTTAATATGTGGTTGTATCCAATACTATGTCCATTAGTTCTGGTTATTTAAAAGTCAGTTAAAATCCCTTCTAAAACATCCCCCATGTTGAAAAGCTTTTTCTGCCTTTTTTTTTCCTTCCTCCTATTGTATTTTATTTTGGTCAAACAAAAATACATGAGTTAGAGTTTTAATGTGCTTTATAGCACTGTCCATTACTCTGTAATCAAGCCAGGTTTAGGAATAATTCCAGTTAGCCTGCAAAAAATGTCATCCAATTTTTCTATTTTCACATAATAATAATTACTGAAATTTTGAAAGTCCATCTGCACAGAAGATGAAAAAATATAGGTACTTACACAGAATTATCCAGGTTATTGTTTCAAATTTTGTGAAAAGAAAGGGCAGGTTCTTCTTGCTCTTTTGCTGTGATGGGAGAGAAGTGTTTATTTCCTGTGATATTTTTGTGTTTGGAATTCTAAGCCTGGAAAAAGAAAAAAAAAAAAAAGAAAGAAAGAAAGAAAGAAAAACAAAAGAACAATTAAAAAAAAAAACCAGCTGAAAACCCATTCACTCAAACACGTTTGCCTGATTTGGGTGGTGGTAGTTGAATTTTAAGTCAAAAGGCGTGTCCGTTCTTACCTAATTCATCCATAGCAAGTTTAAAATCAAATAATTAAAAACATAACTGTAAAATTGCTCTTCATTTTCATCATAGAGGCATATGTCTTCATGTGACTAATCACTTCAGAGAAGATTCTTACGTACAGTGTGCAAATGGAGGATGTTTTCTGATCATGTCATGCTAATTTTCCAGTTTATCAGTCTTTTCAGTTCCAAACTGGAATGACAAGATGATATCACACTTGATCTTAATATATATCGTAGAACCTTTTGGGTGTAGAAGTTCACATGAGCTGAAAACAGCTGTCTTTGCTTGGACGGTGTTGTGCCAACAGCAGGTTTTTCATAACATCTTTTTCTCTTCTGCTCATCGTAGGATGAAGTGGCCCAGCCTCTGAACCTTTCAGCCAAACCCAAGACATCTGATGGCAAGTCTCCCACATCACCCACCTCTCCTCATATGCCAACTCTGAGAATAAATAGTGGGGCCAGTTCACTAAAGTCCTCCGTGCCAGCAACACTAGCGAGTCCTTCAGCCAGAGCGAACACAATAGGTAAGCTCAGACTCATTCCTCCCTCCACGTGACAGCTGATAGCTGTTAATGATAAGTGGGCACTGACCATCCAGACCCATCCCAGGTTGGCATAATACCACATTTGTTGATGTCAATGGGGAAACTCGCAGACTTACTATTTCAAGAGGAGTATTTTAACTTTTACAGACTTGGAAAACAAAGATCTCTGTTATTTCAGATAATGCTTTATCAATAAAAGTTAATAAATGTGATTTAACAGCATACATTACATGATATTGTACTACATCATCTAAAAGCAATGGAAAAACTTAAAAAAATACTCCCTTTGAGTTAAAAGTCTAGATATCAAATCCATCTTTGCCAAATTGCTGGTTTAATCCTTAGTCTGCTAAAAAGCTGCATGGAGCACTCTTTTTTACCTTGGTCTAACAAGCCAAACAATCACCAGCTTCATTCAAAGGAAAAAGTATGATGTTGTATCTTTTAAAGTCTTGACTGGCTGTTTTAGAAATTGTTCCAGAAAGTAGCATTAGTTCTTCCCCCTGCCTCTCTGCCTGAGGACCATTTAAATAACAACAGTCTCAGTGGGGATTGCACAAGTCTATGTGTTGAAGGTGCTGCTCTGTGTGTGGAAGTAAAATATGTACACACCTCATTCTTCATCCTTGTAACCAAAACATTTTATTCCATGAAGTGACTGAATATAACTTGAATTAAGATTTCAGCATGTAAATCAAGCTCTGTTTAGAGAGTTAAGTGACGTAGATGGTTGTACCTTTGTGACTGTGTGTCTCACTGTGCCTAAAGCATCTCCGGCTGGGCACTCCAGAGGATGGCACAGAAAAACAAAAGAAGCCATAGGTCAAACGTATCAGAAGCTCTTTCTGTGGTATCTCAGTGCTATGCAGGAAAATCTTCTTGTGTCTCTGTGGGTCTCTCCCAAGCTTATTGTAGTCTGTATTCTACCTGCTTGGATGCCAGGAAGACCCATAGTTATGTCCAAAGATCAAAAGAGATCTAGCTCCCACTGGGCATGCATGATTATTGGTAATGTTAATGAGGGTTGCATAAAGCAGACAGAGAATATGCTTCTCTGCCTTTTAGAAAATAACTTTATTTGGTATGACATGTTAACAATCACGTTAATATTTTGTCAATACAACATTGTTAATTGTTAATTCATCTATATTATTAACCCTACACTCTTTAACTGTGGTTGATAATGATGTATGTCATCCTTGATTTGCTTGGCCCTACTGCTTTCCAATTACAATGCATCAAGTTTCAATTTTTTCACATTAAATTCTTTGTCCTTAATAGAGTGAGCATCTGACCTGCATCTCAGTGGCAGGACTTCTCTTGTTCTCTCCTCTCCAATCTTCTTTTCCTACACACCTGATATTTTTCATAGGTCTGAGACCCCTGCAATTTACTTCTTTTAACAAAATGCAGATTTTGAAATGCTGTACCTGTAATGAGTGATAATGTAATTGGATAAAAGCTGTGAAGATGAATGGAGCTTTAAAGGTCACTCTTGTAAGAAGAATTAATGTGTTATACCATTAATAAACCATGGAAAACTGTGGAGCAAAAGATAACATACTTAAGTTATTGTTAATGACACAGAGTTCACCGCTCTATATCTCCCAGCTACAAATATAGAAAGTGACTTTTTGAGGTTGCTGAGCAGTATCACTGTGCATACTGTGTATATAAGATAAGCAGTCTTTAACTGGTGCAGGAGCTGGACAGACACAGCCTTCTAACAAAGGTTTATCCTTTAATGGAAGACTGGGAGAATGAAAGGCTTGTGATCACTCTACGGGGTCTTTTTCTGCTAACTTCTAGGTCAGATCCAATAGGGTTACAGCAAGTAAAACTCATTACCATGTTGAAACTGTTTGGTGATCTTAAAATAGTGAGCATGACATTTCCAGTCACCCTCCAGTAGGAGCTATGCCACAGAAAATTTTGATAGCATTTTTAGCAAAGGTACAAAGGTCCCTAAAAGCAGTAGAGAAACTGGATCACTTTTTTACCTCGAGAGCTAACCCTCTACAAAAAGTCACTGGGAAACATGCAGTCATTTGCCAGGCAGTTACTTTCACCATTTGAATGATTGGAGCTGTCAATTCAAGGCACAAGTTGTCTGTCCTAGGTGTGCACTGCCCACCTTGCTGGGATGCAGCTGAGCTGTCATTTTTCACCACCACTAACTTCACATGAAAACCATTCTCTGAAAGCAGCTCTTCAAGCTCCTTGGTTCCCATGGCACAGGAAATCCTCATGTATTGCTCAGTTGTCTTTGGAGGACGTAGCCTTATATCCTCCCATGATTAGCAGTATAGCTGCATTTGGGCATGCAGATCTGTAGTCCCTTTCTAGAGCTATTCGTACAGTGTATAAATTATGCTACAGACTGAGCAGTCACAAATGTCGTGGCTTCATGTATGACTTTAAATCCAAGCACTTCTTTTTGGGAACAGGCATATGTCCGTGTACTAAAAACAGAAACAACTTCTCTCTGCCCTTTGCCGTTATCTGCAACATCTCTGTGCTAGTTTGGCAATCCTTGTAACTAAGTGCATTTTATGTAATGCAGTTCCCCTCTCTGTCAATAATTCACCACCTACCCTAAACAACAATAATTTACATTCAACTCGCTTCTATATTAATCATTTCCCTGCACACCAGCATCTTGGCAGCTACTGAAAAACATAAGGAGTGCTTGCTTTTATTCACTGTCATGTGCCAAACTATCTCAAAGATAGCAGTATTCAGGAAAAGCCAAATAGTCTGGAGAAGGGCATGAATTCCAGTTCCTAGGCAAATTCAGCAGTATTACAGATTGAAAGTCTTATACCTAGCCTAATCGAGAGCACAACCAGCAGTAACACTCCTGTTTGTTTGTTTGCTTCTTTTTTAATTTATTCTGACTACGTGCAAGCTTGATCAGTAACAGATGCAAAGTGGGGAAGAAACCAAGCAAGTTGATAAAATGGATGTAAAAAAAGAAATCAGCTGGTAGCATTGTGCTGGTGCAGGTTAGATCCTTTCTTATGGTGGGAAGGCTGGAATTATTGGAATTCCATTGGCTCAGAACTACTGAACTGGGTCATTTGATAAAAGCAATGTGGATCAATTTATTTCATATAAAACTCTGAGGGTTCCTGAGTATTTAGCCAAAAGCTAGCTGTTAGCACAGTTAGCAACAGTCAAACCACACAGAAACTTTTCGGTTTTTGTGTGCCAAGGAGGATGGGAATACCAGTCCCATTCTGTCTGCAGTCTAAAAAAACAACAATAAAAACCCAAAGCAAACTAAAATCCTGACAGCAGCGCAGCACTGAACTAATCTGACATCAGCCTCTTCCTCTGAAATGTTTTAAGCAGCAAGACAATGTCCTACGTTTTTTGGCAATCGGTGGATCAGATAGAAGAGTCTAGCAATACAACAAGGATGTGTAATCTGACATGATTAGACAAGGCTCTTTAGGAACAGAACATTCATAATTGAGACAAAGAAAGAGTATTAATAACACTTTCCTAACACGGCAGTTAGCCATTTTATATTTCCTTTCTTTAATCTTAGTGTTTTTCAACAAATCATGGGATTTAATAGCGTGTTTTGGCAGATTAGAGGATTTATGGCCCAGATGTTTTTTGTTCTAAAAATGGATTAGGGTGTAAAGTTTGCTGGAATCCATGGAACATGTTGAGGCAAGCCGGTCATTTTGTGTGTGATTAGTGCCTGCCTTCTGTCTCACAGTCCCTCCATCTGTCACAATTCACCAATGGATCTGGTTAGATTTAGCCTCATGTCACAAACAGAAGTCCCTTTTCTGGGCAATTTCATATTACAGATTCATTTTATGCCTTTTTTATGCCCTAGTTAAAAGACAGGAAAAAGTGTGCGCTTGCACGCACGTGTGGGGATGTGGAGAGGAGGAGGGAGATTGATAGATATTAGCCTCTCCTTGAATGTTTGAAAAATAGACCGGGGCTTGGAGTCTCCCATCAGTATTCTATCCTACAAATCACATGCAGATCATAATAAGTATAATCTACAGTACGCTAAAGGAAAAAAAAAAAAATGACAAAGTGTCACATTTAAAATTAAATAGTATTAGCTGTGCCGGTGATGCTTGTAACATTTTAAAAGGAAATAATTCAGTGACTACTAAGGCTAAGCCCTAGGCTGTGAATTTGCAGCAAAACAGTGGACATTTGACCTACTATTAGCAGCATGAATAGGAGTGGGAATGTAGGTCCGTGTAGCTGTGGTTTCTTACACATTTCTGAGTGACAGGTGGTGGTGGGGAGCGTTCAGTGGATGAGGTTTCTCTTCCCAGCCATTATGCATTTCATATCTATAGCAAACCACCGCCACCTGTGGTTTATTTTAATGTATTCACAAGTTCTAAGAAGGGGAAGAACGAAGTGGTCTGTTTTGAAGAGTTTGGGACTGCTGGCGTGATCAAAGCTTCCCCAAACTCTCATCCGGTTCCATCCTGCTACATACAAACCACAGGGCCAACTTCTGCAGCATCAGGGAAATATTGAAACTAATGGGAGCAAATATCAGGATGATGATTTTGGCACTGAGGTTTCTCAGGCTTTCTATCCAGGTGGCTCTGTCATTACAGGAACAGAATTACAAAGCACGGGCAGGTTTCTGGGCATTACCTTTTCACTTGGTCTCATTAATAACAATAAACCGTTGGTGCCTTTCATCGATGAAAGCTGAAGTGTTTTCTTGTAACTTTCTTTTTTTAAGATATCCTGTCTTCTATCACGTCGCCAGGTTATTTAAATGACCACGATGCTGTTACCAAGGCAATCCAGGAGGCCCGGCAGATGAAGGAGCAACTTCGGAGGGAACAACAGGTGCTGGATGGGAAGGTGGCCGTTGTGAACAGCCTGGGTCTTAACAACTGCAGGGCAGAAAAGGTGAGTTTCTGAGACTCTCTTTCTTTGCAAAGCATCAGAGATTGCAGTTGGCTCTCCCTAAAGATACGGAGGTCCTTCCTCCATATTTTTTTTTTTGGCCTTTTTCTTGCTCTGTTTACTTCTTCTCCATTTTAAAACAAAATAGTTCCTTCTTTCAAAAAGAAATGTAAAGTAAAATGAAAACCACAGCCAAAAGATGTCATGAGAGACCTGGAGACCCTTGGGGGAGAGCAGGGAGGAGGCAGAGATAGCGAAAGCCCTCATGAAAACTTTAGAGGCCACTAATTCTCTGTTCGGGCCTGTCAACGTGTATTATGAGAAGGTGATCCTGGAAATCTCTGGGTCTAAGTGGAAATCTTGCTTTATGGAAATGCTTACATGTTTTTGTGAGATGAGATGGATTTGAAAATATTCAGGCTTCTTTAGGAATGTAAGCTTTGCTGATACTCAGGCTCAGCTTCTGGGTATTTAGCCTTGTGAGGTTGTCATATATGATATTTTGTGACCATTGCAATGTAGCACTGTCATATCACGTTAGATGACTTAACAAAATGGAAAAAATGGAGAATTGACAACAGAAAGTGCACCAAATATTTGCAGTGAAACTTAGAGGCAGCAGAATGTATGGGCCTCACCACCTTCTACTTTTGATCTGGCCTGTGTTATACCAAAATACTGAGAAGGTGAATATTCTCTAGTAAAATTTGTATGTACTGTAGCCATTGTGTATATCAAAGAGGTTGTGATTTGCTGCCCTTCTCTGTAAATACCTGATGTCTTTCCATGCACTGCCCTGGCTTGTGGAGGATAAATAGACCTGCCAGTCCTTGCTGCCACATTTCTAATGAGCTGTCCTTGTACTGCTACACCTAAGATACACCTACAAACTCTTGTGTGCATTTCAATACCATACAGCAAGACTTTTTCTTCGATACCTCTGTTCCCCCACAGTATTTGTGGAGGTGATAGAGCCTTCATTGAGCATTACAACAAACACGACCTTTATTGCATTTGCTGTAAACCGAATTTTATTGAGGCTGCTTCTAGTGACTTTTCACTGTTAGGCCTTGTGTGAATCACTGAGATAGGCAGATAAACAGAATGAATAAAAAAGATCAGCTATTTAGCAGAAACTTGAAAGTCAGTCATCCTAGGAAGCTTGTGAGTCAAACAATATTGTCCAGAATGAGCAGATTGCTAATTTGGATAGCTTTCCATTTTCCCTGGTTTTAGATGGGGTTTGATCAATAAGCTGTGAGAAGCCAGCAGTCTGGGTAATGAATGTTAAATGTACATGTGAGTCTCTCCCTACTGTACTTTTTTCATCAGCCTATCCTGGGTGTAAGTGATGTAGAAATGACTCCAATTTCATGCACTTTCTTGAGAGGAAGGGGAAGAAGAAAAGAGGTCGGTGTAATAGGTATCTGGTAGTATATACAATCTCTTTTAGAAGAATAAGAGCTCTGGTCTGGGGAGAGGGAGGAAGAAGGAGAGGGATGGGGCGTGTTTACGGCGTTTCTCATAGAAGAGTACCAGGAGTGAAAAGGGGAAAGCGGAGTGTCAGATATAAGAAGAAGTGATCACAAGCACAAAGGAATTTATATTCAAATATTTAAGCATTCTTGAAAGGATGCTCGGAGCAGAAATTTCTTTTCTCTGCTCCCCATGTAGAAATGACTTTAACACTCAGCCAGATGCTAATGCAAAGTGACTCAAGCTATTCCTCGCAAGCATAGCTAAATTGCCGTTATTTGTTAAGCGCATTGAATTCAGCTGTGGATACAGCAGTTGGTTGCATTCAGAAAGCATCTGTACCCTTTTTTTCTTCTTCCTTTTTTTTTTTTTTTTTTTTTTTATTTAATCCTCCAAAGCAGAGACAACTCTACCTATCTCCCCCCTCTCCTCCCTTGTGCTGGCTGGGAATTGTCAAGTGACAACCGACCAAATCCTTTTGGACAGGAAGCCTTCATCCTGAGTTCTATATACTTGCAAAGCAGGCCTTGTGGTTGGATCAGGAAGCCCATTAAAAGCACTTTGATGGTATGGAAATTCATCTTCATGAAGCACCCAGGCCCCTAAGCAGCATACTGTTTAGCTGTGGTTACAGATCAGTCATTCACATCGGAGGGCAGTAATTGTGCTGACGGCTTGTTCGGCAATGGAAGTACATAAAATAATCCCAGGCCCTCCACCACGGCATTGCGAGTTAATCTTCTTTAATACAGATCAGCTGTTGTTCTAACACATGACTTTATGCTGGCTCTAGTGACTCTGCACAGCCTTTTGATTAAGTAACAGGAGTGGAACCATCTGCATTCACTTTATTCTGTTACTTTCCTATTGTTGGTATTCTCCTTACCCCTTCTGTTTTCACTTCTCACCCTCATCCCCAGTTGAAGTTTATTTTCCTCTCTAATTCATGCCTCCTGGTGGGCTCGTGGAGGGCAGAGAGGAGTTCTTTTACAAGGTAGCAGAAAGAAAAGAATTGTTTCCTCGGTTGAAAATTTTTCTAAAGCAGCTGTAGGGTTTTCGGGTTTTGATGCAATAAATGCCAAAACTTTATCAGGCTGCACTGACTATTTTATTTTATTTTATTTTATTTTATTTTATTTATTTTATTTTATTTTCACAGGAAAGAATAGAACCAAGTCTAAGCTCTCCTAGACTATAATGGGATTTGAGTTCCTAGGGTATCCACTTAAGCCACTAACCATTAGCTAAGAAGCTGCACATTTTAACTTGTAGGGTCTCCTGAGATGTCTCTTGCCTTTGGCCCAAAAGAGGAAAGGACCTAAGGCTGTAAAGTTTAGGTATTTGTACTCCTTTCTCATATATGCTCCAGGCCATCCACCAAGTAGCCAGCTGTGCAAGTTCAGATCCAGACAAACACCCCAACTTCTCTAAAGTCTGTGTCTGCTTGATACAGGACTTTAAAAATTTCTCTCTTATTAAGCGCAATATTTGAGAGGAAGGCAAATGTTGCCATTTTGAATTAAATTTTATTCTATTTTTTCCCCGTTTTCAAGGGAAAGAAAAATTTGAGATAATTGGGCAGATGGGTAGTGGGAAATAGAATGCTACAGGGCTCCCACTCAGATTTTCCCTTCAGAAGCTCACAGTCCCACTGGGGTACTTCAAGGCAGCACCCTGAACATTTGGGATATTCCTTTTGCTCTCTGGTTTCTTCCTGACAGGGCAATTTTGAGATGGGGGTTGGAATTAAGAGAGGATTAGTCTGATGTACCTATGTGTCCAAGGGCATATCTGTACTTAGAAATGGACATTATGCCTGCACTTACACAGAGAGGAAAGCTCCTTCCTGTAGCATGGCCTCAATCTTTATAGGCAACAAACACTCATCTGGGGCTATCCCAGATTTTCCACCCTTCTTTGCTGCAGTGGCTGGTGTAGTTATGGAGACCTCCATTTCTCTGAGACCTGTTGAACTTCTTGTTGCATGAATTGCCGCTGCAGCCTACCAGTGACGGTGGGCTCGGTGCAGTTCTGAACATGTATGTTAGACTCTTGGTAGGGATTTATCTGCCAGGGGTAGCTGGGCAGGCTCAGGGCTGGAAATCACCTTTGTGAGTCTCTGTTAAAGCTCTTGGGTCTTTTCTCCACACATGTACATAACCCGTTATCTGGCTTCTGTTCCCAGATGGGTTGATCCCTATGGCCAGCCAGACCTGCCAGCTGTAAGGCAGTAGTCAGACAGGGATTTTGTGGAATTGGAGAGAAACTGCATAAAAGGAGTCATAAATGAGAAAAGATTTTTAAAAATGGCTAGGATGATTTGAGTGAGTCACTTTATGGGCATCCAACTTGGACCATCTTGAGGGATTTGATGTTCAGAGGATTACAGTAAAAACTATGAACATGATGATGAACATGGATTTTACTAAAACCTATTTTAATTGCAAATGCAATAAAACATATTTTTACATTACTTTTCTTGGAAACATTTCCTTGTATAAATGAGAAGTGTGTGTATATATTTTTCTGGTTTCCTGGAAACCCAGGAGCATAGTTTTATTGGTAATTATCATCTATAGTTAATTATAGCTTGATGTGTACTATACATAAACAGTGTTACCTTTTATACTAGAGGACAGGTTGTCATCTAGTGCAAACACCACAACAGGCAGGATCAGGGAGCGAACTCTAGTCTGTTTGTTCTGCCCCAAACCTGCCTGTTCCTCTGCAAAGGAGATGCACACGAACACAAAGAGCCAGCACGTGTGTGCATGCATACAAGCCTATAGTGCACTCTTCCAGAGATGCACAGCACAAACAGGCACCGAGCTAGCCAGTGATTTCCTGACTGGAGCCAGACTCTCAAGCGTTTGTGTGTGTACCCTGGCAACTGAAAAACGCAGGAAGGGAGCACCCAAGCAGGTGCTCCCTTCCTGCTCCCTTTCGAGCATGTGTCTGTGTGCACTGGTCCAGATGCAGGTACTACCTTCCAAATGCTGGTGCCTGGTGCTGTAGAGGTACAGGCAGCTGGGACAGTTGTGTAGGTGTGCACAGCCACACGAGCAGTTCAGCTGTGACAGACACAGTCCCACTTGCAGCACACTCTGAGGTGAGTGCACCCAAACACGTGTGCCTCCCGTGCTGAAGTGTTCCTGGACCTGTCTTACAAGTTCCCCCCGTTAGTGCTCCTAGCGTGTCCCTTTAAAAGGCTCTGACATGTACTTGTCTGCTGGGCTGTAAACTAAAAAGCTATTTGTAACAATATTTATTCCAGCCTTGTAGGCAGGAGCCTATTTATTACTCATGCTTATGGAACACCAGGTTCAGGATGTCTTTCCTCCCATTCCCACCCACTCCTCCTCCCACCGTAGTCCCCCCTCCCACCCCCGCCTTCCCCTCTTCTCCTTAAGAGAGTGCAAAACATGAAATGACAGTGACCAATGTTGACTTAATGTGGATGTTTAATAATGAAAAAAGTGTGTCAGTTCTAGCATTAGTTACAAATGGCAGTAAGTATATCGGGTGGC